TAATTACGTCATTGATTAAGCCACTAGTATATTACAGTATTAGATCACATCGCGCGCAGCACATCTTCTCTTTCTAAAGAAAAAAAAATGGCGAACATTGCAAGGATCGAACAAGAGCTGGATGAGGCAAAGAAGCAACTGGAGAAGGCGGAGGCTGCGGTGACGGCGTTTAACGAAGGAGAGGACGAGGGGCTGCTATTGAAGAAGCTGAGGAGACGCAGGAAAGAGCTAGATGAAGAAGATAAGAAGGAGAAAGCAAGACTGGAGGAGAAGGAGAAGCGTCTGGATGAGAAGGAGGAGGAGTGTAGGAAGCATGTGGCGGTATTGCAGGACAGACTCACAGCAGCGACAGCTCAACCAGGTAACGACTTTGTGACTCGGGCGTTGGGGCGTGACATAGAGTAGTGTGTACATAAAGTAGTAATCATAACAATATTGATGAATGTCTAGTATATTGCCATTTTATCATTAATATTGATATTGTATCCCTCACATATCATCTTTGGCTCAGGTAATAAGCGCAAACGAGAGGCGGCAGAAGAAGGAACAGAGGATAAACGCTATATGAAAGACTTAGCCAGAATTGGCTGCCCAAGCGATCTAGCGAGAACTTATAAACAATCAAGCCATGAACCAATGTTCCTGAATCATCGCCCATTATCTTCCAGTGGTATTCCAACAGAACTACTACACCCAATCTTTGGAGAGTTCTTAGATTTATGTCAGAATGCTGAACCTACAGTCGAAGACTTTCGCTTTGTAAATGATCTTAGTGAATCGATGTCTGAATACTATGACAAAGAGACTGAACGTGCACAAAAATTTCGAGATTGTCTTAAGGATTATTTCCGTATCAATTTTCCTTGTATTGAATTCGACGATGGATCACGCACAGACGGTACCTGGTTTCCTAATCCCAACGACAACTTTATTGGCATGAATGCTGAAGTGAAAAAAGAACCCGGCACCGGAGGTAACCCACACATACAAAATATAGGATATTACAAACAATACATTCTTCAAAACCAGAATCGTGCTACAAAGTTTAGGCTGCCTTGCTTCCTTATTCAGGTTAACGGACCGGAGTTAAGTATTTCGACAGCCATTTATGGGGGTAGGCTAAAGCGGAGCAGATTCTGTGCCACAGCTGCCACAATCATCACAAGCGCCACCACACATTTTGGTATC